TTTTTTTTTCTTGACACTTTTATGGTGCTTCTGAATCCCCTTTGAAGCTTGCAAGCCACTAATAAAAAACTCTTCATCTGTGTTCCACAGAAGAATGAAAGTCTTGCTGGTTTAGAAGGACGGACGGCTTAGAGTGTATATGATGACAACAAGTTTATTAATATTTTTTTTTCTTGATGAACTATTTCTTAAATCAGTTTTATTGTGCTTGCTTACATCTAGACACTCATTAAACTGGTTCTTGGAAATAATTAATTATTAAAACACTATCTTTAAGAAGTCTTTGTTTAAAGAAAGTTGCATGCAAGGACATTTCCCAATCAATTACGTAACAACATACAAAAAAGTTTAGGGATAAAATATCACACTTGCTTGCTCAAGTTTTCTTGCGGTGAGAATAAATGAGTGCAGCAGTAATAATCTTACATTGCAATGCACAATATCAAATGATATCTCATGTCACCATGTCCTGCCATATTTCAAAGTCCATCTCACTGGTTCATTGACTCCCATTACTCATAATATGCTCATGCCTGGGATGTTTCTCCTAAAAGCTGACATTTGCTCCTTGATTTAACACCTGTGTGTGTGCGCGTGTGAATATATGGACAGTTTTTCAATAATTTGATACACATTAGCAAGTTGAGTTATATGAGCTTTCCATAAGCATACAGAATGCTTTATGACCCAGCCTTCCATGTTTTAGTATCTATCTTACTGAAGCAGAGGAGCTTTTGAATCCGAACTAAGCATTCACTAACCTTTTTTTTTGTGTGTGTACTAGCCTCCCTGGACCTACATCCATGGAAAATAAAGTTGGGTTGTTTTATTCATATGTGAGGGCCAGTGATAACAGATAGCGTGGTGTAGAGGGGGATGAATCGGCTTCATTAATATTCAACACATCATTCACCGAAAATCTGAGCCTCTACACTGTATACTCTGAATTAATGTACAAGCCTTTATAAAATTGATGGTGAAGTTTCATTTCATGCAGTAATGAAAAGAACAGTGCACAGTGAATTCTTCACAATGTTCTTATTAATGGGCAAAAGGTGTGGAATAAAACGTGCAAATGGCTGAAAACTGCCTCGCAGATGAAATGGGCAAATCTTTTGAATGCAGCTGTTCAAAGAATTTAAAAGAGATTTTTTTTTTTTTATCAAAATAGTTGTCGATTATGAAAAATCAAGTGCACAAAATCTCCAGAATGCTATACATGAACATCTACAAGTTTGCATAGAATATTAAAGACATCTCTGAATATCAAAATTCCAGTTTTGTGGCTTATAAATTTAAAGGGATGGTTCGTCCAAAAATGAAAATTCCTACACAATTTAATGGCAGTTTGTAACTATTTTACATTTTGGAAAATTGGTGGCTAATTTGTATTAAACCTGTATGACTTTCTTTGGAAGTGTTTTTGTCCATTCAATGAATGTCAATGGGAACTAATGTTGTTAAAATTAACTTGCAAAATTCTTTTTAAACTGTTTCTTTGCCAATAATGTAGTTCACAGTAAAAAAAATAATAACCCTAGAATCAGGCTACTATAGCAGCTTTTGTGATAACAATGAGAATGTAAAGTGAACTTGTGTTATATTATGAATTATGAAAAAAGCACAAATTATATGCGCTACTTTTATGATACTTTTTTCTTGTGCTTTTTGAAGTTTGACAGTCCTTGGTTACTATATAGATTAATTTGAACGAAAATAGCAATGTGAAAATTATTTAATGCATCTCATTTTGTGTTCCACAGAAGAAAAAAGATAATATGGGGAAACAAAATGTCATTTGGATGATATGATGGTGCATTAAAATGTTTGGTTAAACTATTCATTTAATTGATTTCCTTAGAGTCATTGTTGTTATTCAAAATTTGCATTTGTAAATGCAAAATGTTCAAGTGGTATAGAAGCAATTCACTGTACTGGTGCTTAGATTTCTGTAACTTTACATTAGTGACACTCCATGTGAATGAACTATGCAGGCTGGAGCGCCTTAGAATACAAAGTGACTTTAGGTGTATCTGTTTTTGGGAGCCTGTTTGCTCCTTGTAGTAAAAATATTTGTTTTATGAATGGCTCCTCTTGCAGTCCCCAAAAACTCAAGACTACTAGGCTGGAGGTGTTGTGATAAATTGCAGCAAAATATGCACTTACAAAAGGCTCCCCTCTAGCGCTCTATCATATCTGGAGAAGCCATAAATCAGGCTAGTTGCCAGTGTTCCACTTACAGTGCAATCCAGGTTCTCCCTGTTCTGGCCAACTCTCCATTGTAGCACCTGAGAATGTCTGATTACTACAAAGTAAAAAGTTGTCTCTTTGAACCACCCTGTTTCTGTCACGGTTCGCTACTGTGAGGAGCACGGAGCGAGGAATGAGGAGACGCAGAGTCGAATTCAAACATATAGACTTTAATCATATCCAGGGAACCAGGAAAACACACGTAGCAAGGGTAGACATATACAATTCCGGACAAGGGAGAACAGAACGGGCTAGAACTCAAATAGGGCAGATAACGAGGAGCCTTCGTAGCCTTGTCCCGGTTCCCTGGCCCGGCCACTATGGCAACGGATATCCCCCCCCTAAATTTTCTTGCGGAAAATTAGGTCCTTCAATGCCTGGAGGGATTATAGAGGAGCGGGCTCTGGGGGGCGCTCTGAAGGAGCGAGCACTGGAGAGCGCTCTGGAGGAGCGGACACTGGAGGGTGCTCTGGAGGAACGCGCGCTGGAGAGCACAGACGAAGGAGGGCTGGATGGGACCAGCGGAGGCGAAGGAGACGAAGGAGACGAAGGACGGCTGGATGGGACCAGCGGAGGCGAATTAGACTCAGGAGCCGAATGAGAGCTTTCTGGAGCGGACTCTGGGGTGAGGATAGGAGCCGAGAACTCTGGGGGTAGCGCCATGTCCATGAGCACTGAGAGGCACGCTGGAGCTGACTCTGGAGCGAGCTCTGGGGCTGGAGCCGACACTGGAGCAAGCTCTGGGGCTCGAGCCGACACTGAATCGAGCACTCGGGCGAGGAAGAGGGCCCTGAGCCAGTAATTTCTCCTCTTCTGATTACGGGTGAACTGGGCGGCCGGCGGGCTTGTCGTTGCGGTGGCCGGCGGGCTTGGGTCAACGGCGGCCGGCGGACTTGACTCGGGAACGGCTGGCGGGCTTGAGTGAGCCGCGGCCGGTGGGCTTGAGCGAACGGTGACTTCCATGCCGCGGGGAGAAACAAATGGGAAAACAAAAACACTTTAAAAAACGGAAAAGAAACACGGAGAGGAGAGGCGCCGCTCACATTTTGCTGGTCCGGAATTATGTCACGGTTCGCTACTGTGAGGAGCACGGAGCGAAAAAAGGAGGAGACGCAGAGTTGAATTCAAACATATAGACTTTAATCATATCCAGGGAACCAGGAAAACACACGTAGCAAGGGTAGATATACACAATTCCGGACAAGAGAGAACAGAACGGGCTAGAACTCAAATAGGGCAGATAACGAGGGGCAGACAGGTCAGGAGGATAGCTAATAACAAGGAACACCTGGAACAAATAGAACTAAATGGGGACAGGAACCGGAAGGACCAAATAAGGGCACAAAGAAACAGGAGGCAGGAACACAGGGAAAACAAAATAAAAATCGACCTTAAACGTGACAGTTTCTTTATTGGTCCAAATTTGTTGGGGCGATTGAAAAGCAGTCGGGTGCTCCATGACATACATTTTGCACAGGCTGTGGGATGGCTAGATGCATCCCTATTCCCAATGCATGCCATTTTTCTCTTTGTTTGATGAATAAAATGCAAACTACAGTTGAAAAAAAAAAAACAGGCCTTTTATTAAAACCACAGAAGCTGTATGAGTTGTCTTTGACTGACTTTGTGGAAACGTGGCAATAATCACTTCTGTTAGACATGCAGAGTGTCAAAATTAGTTCTGCCCTGGCAAGGAAACTGTTGGCTTGCGGGTGGTTTATTTCATTTCTCCACCTTGGTTTCTAGAACCTTCTAGAAACTGCTCAATATGGTCTGTTCTAAAAAATAGCAAGCTGTCTTGCTGCCCAACTTCTCCATAGGCCTTAGGCAGAATCCTAAATGTGCGGTCATATATACGATTGCTCGACAAAATTTTGCAGCTGAAGTTCTGTAATTCCAATAGTAATCCATGCCGATCAGGAGTTTCGCATAAGGGCAAAAAAAATCTTCTCCAGGCAGATTTTGCTCATTTTCAAGACAGTCACATGAAATTGCTTTGGTTTGAAAGTGACTTCTGTGTGAGCCATGCTTTATACATTGTATATTGGACCTTTTTTTTTTTGCCTGCAAAACTGACATTTCATATGACATATGTCTGGCATTTGGACCAGGTGTTCAAGTGTGCATGAAGACCATAAGTGTGTGTAGAGCTTTTGATTACCTGTTTGGAGACACATTTTCATTTTCAACATTGTGCATTTTAAAATAAACTTTGGTAACACTTTAGGGAAAATTCACTATTAACTAAGAGTTTTCTCTCAAGAAACTCCTAATTACTAATTGATAGTAAGTATAGTAGTTGTTGTATGTTTAAGTATGACGTGGGGTTAGGGGATCTAATATGGTCATGCATTCCTGAACATGATGAATAATGGGATACACTTGGCCTCAAATACCACTCCACTGACCTGGGACAGTTTTGCATACTTACTTTCTGTCACAGGCACGCACTTTTAGTTGGCCAAGACAACAAGTGTGGGTATTGGGATAGACTTGTTGGGTAAAAAGAGTCAAATTTACATTTTTAGACTATGGATTCTTTATAAATAAATAAATATATTTGCACATTTATTAATTTAGCCGAAACTTTTATCCAAAGCAACTTCCCACTGAGCAAAGGTACGTCCAAATGATGTCATTTCAACGTCTTTTTGATTTGGAGTAAGGAAAAGTAAATTAAATGTATAAAGAATTTATCATAAGTTTCTTAACATTTGTTTTATTAATCAGTATTTACATTATTTATGAAAGTAATAGAGTGGGGGAACTATGACTTCAGAACCTGGAAGAGTAATTCGCCGCGGGTTCCTTCGAGATTTTCGTCCTGGACCGACCGACGCAATATAGACATGATCTGCACGTCGGGCCGACGTCTCATGTTTGTTGGGTTACAAATGAGGAATACAGGAAGCAATTCATCTTAAGGAGGCAACAACAACACAAGAAGTGCTAGCAATACAACATTTCAAACATTGTTCAGGGCTGCATTTCCCAAAAGCATTGTTAGCTAATTATGGTCGCAAATTCCACTGCACTCTATTGGTAATGACGGAACGTGCAACCCTAGTTGCTTGTGGGAAACGCACCCAAGAGTAGTACAGGCTAGAACACGGAGGGATTAATAAATAATGAAGTGATCATTTTACCAGCAGAGAATTAAACTGTTCTAGAAAGTGATTTAGTGCCTCTCAGTTTGAGAGCCCCAATCTTGAAAGACCTACTTGTGAGATAAGATGCAAACCACCAAAGTGAAGTTCCTGTGATGCCCATCTGATAGTTTACAGTGTTTAAGGTGATAGATCTAGCAGAATGAGACATGATGATTTGGAATCAATTTTTGAAATCCACAGACCTTCAGTGACTGACAGCAAAACATTCTCAGTTGAGTGGCTGTTCATCTGTGAGATAAAGTTTAAAATAAAGAGTAAAGTCATACTGTAAGATAGAAAGTCAAAATTGTGAAATATAAAGTTCAATTTATGAGAAATATATTTGAGAATATATAAAGTTAAATAATAATTGTATACATAATGTTTAGGGCAGAGGTCATGTAAAGAATCAAAATGTATAGCAATATATTTTTAACATAGAAATATAAATTATAAACTAGCTTCATGATCATGCAATTATTGATGCTCTTTTTGAAAGCAATGGGCTACTGGCCACAATGGTAAATGCTTAATTGCCTATTTTTGTTTTAGAAAATGTATAATTATATTTATAATAAATAAGTATATTTCTTAGGAAGTATGCAACAAATCAAACCCCATATTTAAGTGGCTGTGTGTAGTGACTTAGCAGTGAAATGGGTTGCTTAAAATGCTGTCTTCAAAGGCAGCTCACTTGTATTTGGTACACTCCCTTTATCAGTGAATCATATGGAAGGATTTGTACAGCTTGTTAAAGAAGCAGATGAGTTTCTCACTCCTGTGGTTTTACAAGCCGCCTTTTCAGCACCAAAGATGGAATATGAGCCACCTTCATTGAAATCAATTATAATTTTTATCTCTTCCCAAAGAGCTTGAGGTGACATGTCTGAGAAACATTGTCAGAGCTATGAATTGAGTTTGGTACATCGCCTTCCCTCCGGATGTGTAAGTCACAGAGCCCTACAACCACACTTCATCACTCAGATGAAAGAGCTGAGAACTGCATATTATCATATTCAGTCTAATAATGACAAGATTTGATGTGATATGCATCCCACCAAAAGCATGTCAAGTTAGGCAAGTTATTACAAATTGAGTCAAGCACAAGAGAAAATTCTCGAAATGACTGACTTTTAATGATGACTTTAAATTTAAATGGATTCAAAAAAATGGATTTTACTGTTTGACTAACGATTAGGTTATGACAGGACTAGTTTAGAAAGCAAAATATCACTTGGCTCTATAACTTCAGGGCAGAGGATGTTTGTTCCAGTATATCCATGATGCAGATTTGAATCGTGATCTTTGGATTTGGTGAGCTTAATATTGTGAGAAAGATGATAGCAACAACAACAGGTATTATACATGATATTCAAATAGAGTAGTAGACTGTAAAATGTTATTTTAAATTATAAAGGATTAAACTTACAGTATGTTTTCATACAGTATTAAAGCAAGGTGCTAGCAATGCCAAGGTCATGGGTTTGATTTACAGGGAATGCATAAATTCCCATGTCTAAAAGAAGAAAAAGAAATACACTTAAGTTGTATTAATATAGATGCACTTATTATATTTTTATTATACTATTCTAAGTGCATAATAAATGTGTTATTTTGGAACAACTTTAAGTATGTCAAGAGCTCTTTAAGATATGTTTAAGATGAACTTTAAGCTAATTGCAGTACATTTTAATATATTTAGTTAAAATGTAACAACAAAGTATCTTTAGTGTAATTTAATTGTGCTTCTTCACTTTATTTAAAATACACGTTTATAATTGAAGTACAGTTAGAATATATTTTAAGCTTCACTTTATGTATGTCAGGGATACTCCAGCTTCGTCAGGCCCAATCACCTCACACACCCGTTCACAATCACCGGAGTACTAATCAGCCGCACCGGTCATCAGCTCATCAACACTAGCACAAATACTCAGTCACTGCAGTTGCACTTTGTCTGGTCTTGAGTTCACTACGCTACTCCTTACCCGACTCACTCACCTGGAATCAAACCTGTCACCCACCAGCCTTCGTCGAAGTCATCATCCGTCAGATCTAAGAAAGACAAAAGAAGCCGTCACTACGTGAGCTAGATCCCTTCAGTTTCTGGAACTCTGTTCATTTAACCCGTTTGCTCTGCATCTCTCCCCTCAGAACCCTTGATTAAATAAAGAACCCTTCTTACCGGTATATCTCCGTTTTGGTCTCCTTCTGTACTGTGACAATGTACTTCTGTTACATTTTCAATAGCATTTCAGTTCATTATCAATGCATTATCAGCACACTATTAGTTTATTATAAAGCTATTTGTCAGCATTCTAAAATGATATTAAAAAGTACAAAAATCATTAAATGAACATGACATACATATGGGATGTATGCAGTCCAAATGCATTGCAGTCAAGAATAAAAAAATAACAAGTGTGAAACCAGAATTTAAAAACACATGTAAAATTATATTGCACAAAATAAAAAAATGAAAGCAAAGTTATCAGAATAGCAAACAATGGTCACGGATCAAAAATAATAAGTGTAAATAAAAAATGTAATAACACATTTAAAAAAAATAATAAGCATGAATTAAAACTTTAAACACATTTAAAATCATATTGCACAAAATTTAAATATTAATGCAAAATTATCCGAATTGCACACAAAATCATGTTTTGCTTGGTTATATTTCTGTTTTTTGTGCTCTCAGACATTTTCTGCATAAAAAAAAAGTGCAGAACGTGGAATAAAGAGCGAAGGGAAAAACATCATAAGCATACAAAAAATAAAAATATGTGCAGAAAATATCTGAGAGCACAAAAAACAGAGAAATATAACCAAGGAAAACATGATTTTGTGTGCAGTTCGGATAATTTTGCATTAATATTTCAGTTTTGTGCAATGTGATTTTAAATGTGTTTAAAGTTTTGATTCATGCTTATTTTTTTTAAATGTGTTATTAAATTATTTTTGTGCAATATAATTTTACTTGTGTTTTTACATTATTATCCATTTTTATCCGTGACTGTAATACATTTGGCGGGAATCTGATCCCATACATAAATGTACACACACTTTATTGTGATATACCTTGTGTACATTACAACAATAAATTCCTTGATTACATTTAAAAAGTACAGCAGCATATACAAACTCTTGATCAAAATAATTGTAATATAATAAATTAAAATAAATATCAGTGAAATGCTATAACAGAACTACTTCAATCAATTTGTAGAACATTTCTGTTATACCTGTATTACTGGAAAGTACACTGAATATTCCATCACTGAATAAAAATGAATCAATCAATGAAGCAATTTTCTTTTCTTTTCTTTTCTTTTCTTTTCTTTTCTTTTCTTTTCTTTTCTTTTCTTTTCTTTTCTTTTCTTTTCTTTTCTTTTCTTTTCTTTTCTTTTCTTTTCTTTTCTTTTCTTTTCTTTTCTTTTCTTTTCTTTTCTTTTCTTTTCTTTTCTTTTCTTTTCTTTTCTTTTCTTTTCTTTTCTTTTCTTTTCTTTTCTTTTCTTTTCTTTTCTTTTCTTTTCACACACGTAAAGAAGTTACTGAAAAACAATAAAGCACAGTGCTTTAAGTTAAGTCTGCAAATGACTAAACCAAACAAAGAAACAGAACATTTCAAATGTCACCTTCAATCGTCATCTTCAATTGCGGATCACTTTTCTTTGAGTATGACTTGTTGCATTTTTCTGTATCTGAGGTCTTGCAATTCAGACACTGTGGTCTTTGAAAACTGCTTCATCATAGGGTCTGTGAAGGGAAAAAGAATGAATCGGTAGTTTTGAGTGCTGTTTTTGAATATCGTGTTTATTATAATTTGCATAGATATGCATTAGAATTTCTGGTCCCACTTTATATTAAGTGGCCCTAATACCTGTGTACTTACATAGTAACTAGATGTGTACATAGTATGTAACCACAGTGTAAGTACACATTGGTACATAGTATCTACAGCTGTAATGTTTGTGTAACCACATATGTAACAACCCACTGAATTGTATGTGTAAATACAAATGTGTAACAGGACATTGGTAACAAGACTTTTTTGGTAATGAAAGTGCAAATGTGTAACAGGACTAACAGCACTTTTTGGTAATGAAATTACAAATGTGTAACAGGACTAACAGCACTTTTTGGTAAAGAAAGTGTTACACTTTATATTAACTAAACAATTCCTATGGATTTACCATGTATTTACTCTGATGTTACACAGCAGTGGCCAGTAAATTAGGCTTTACATATAAATTGTGTTTGGTGTCCAGAATGTTACACTTTATATTAAGTGGACAGTTCCTGAGGAGTTACCATGTAAGTACACTGGCATTACAGTGGTGCACCAACTCCACCAACTTGAGATCCAACTCCTCCCACTTTACATATCCCTAAACCTACCCATTTCCACGCCCTGGATCCCATTTCCACCCCTAAACCTATCCATCTCCAGCCCCTGGATCAAATTGTTCCAATTGCTCTTATACATATTGTTGTTACAAAATGTAGTTATATATGTCCTGTTACACATTTGTACTTACACAAACCATTTGGAGGGCTGTTACATGTGTGTAGTTACAGAAATATCACAGCTCTAGATATGTACCAATGTGTACTTACACTGTGGTTGCATACTACGTACACATCTAGCTACTATGCAAGTACACAGGTATTAGGGCCACTTATTATAAAGCGGGACCGACGTTCTTTGGGCCTATTTACACCTGGTCACTTCATGCGTTTTCTCTGGTGTAAACAGGCCCTTTGACTGTTCTCAGTTTACCTTTCAAAGCTTGGACTAAATCCTCATCAAGCTTGACATGAGCGTCCATTTTATCTTCTTGTCTGTCGTCACCATACAATACTCTGTGTTACATTGAACATAAGAGGCCCATATCTCTACAACAGAAGTGCTGAATCCAAAGTTAGCCAGACACTCAACAGTCACTTTATTAGGAAATATGTCAGCCAGAATTAAACCTGTGAGATTCATTGATATGAGATTAAAACATAATCTGATTTAAATTTGTCTTCTATTGCAACAGCAGCTGATCTGAAAACAACAAATTTTAACTTAATATTTCACAATGAAATACTCATTAATATTTAGCATGTACTTCATTACAATTGTTACAATTACAGATTGTTGAAGAAAAAAAAACAACTTAATTTGAATTTAAAAAAGCAAAGTAATTGTGTACATGCTATAACGACAAATTATTATTTCTGGCAATACATTGTATAATGTTTTTATAGCTGTTATATGAGAGACAAATGCCACTACCTAAACTTTAAGCAACCATACCTAGTGCATATAGTTGCGATAACTAGCTAGTATGTGTCAGTGTCACGTTACATCGTTTAACGTTAGCATTCCATTTGTTAGCTAACATTTGCAAATGCACAACAACACTATCCACCTAGGAAAAACTCAGAAGTGAGCTTAAATTTAGTTAAACAAATGGCTAGTAAAAACTTACCACCGAGGAGGAATTTCTGCGGGCAGTATCTATCTGTCGGTGTCTGCTTCGACTTGACAGATGCACCTTTTAAGCACCTTTTGTTAAGGAGGTGGGAGCTGACCTGGTTTTCTAGTCAGGAAAATAAAATCAAGCGAAACTGGGATGATTTCTGCTGAAAACATTTTACCATCTCAACAGCAGACAGCCATGTGATTGGACCATTACCTCCAAAGTCGATTTGAAAAGCTTGGCTCTGATTGGTCAAATTGAATGTAACTATTGCGTAGGGCTGTGCAAAAAATCGAATGCGATTTTCATTCAGTTTTCGACTGGCAATGACAAGTAACAGAAATTAAATACTTACCTAGAGTCACAAAATAATGAGGTTCCAAATCTACACCAAGTGTGCCACACAAGTCCTGAAAAGTGAAGCCAAAACTTTCCAATCGACCCCAGGTGGCTGGACCCAGTATAGGTCATAAACCCCACCCAGAGGTGTAAAGAGAACCTAAAAACCATACTTGAGTAAAAGTACAGATACCTTACAGTGAAAATTACTCCATTACAAGTTACAAGTCACCAATTTTAAAATGACTTGAGTAAAAATCTTAGAGTATCTGATTTTAACAGTACTTGAGTATTTTATTTATACTGAATACAGGTTTAAACATGCACTAGTCCTCAACACCTAGGAGACATGCCAAGGAAAAACAAGAAACAGTTGAGTTTGCAATTTGCAATAAAGTGGCCGTTTAAACTTGATTGTACTGTGTTCAATGGGTTTACACTGTCAGAGCATAAAAAAAATATTTTTTTATGCAATATGACACTGGTGGGTGTGGCCACATCTTAAAGGAGGACTGCCTCATGGTGAGAGGAAGGAAACCCTTTGAAATAAGTGTTTTTATTTCCATCTTAAAAGGTTGATCACTAAATT